TTTTTAAAGTAACGTACCACAATTTTATTGGAGGGGTTGAACAAAAACAAAAAAACTCCTTAATCAGGGCATACGGTTTCCATGTTATGTAGACAGGACCTACCTCGAAGCCCCTTAATAAATGAGGATTCTGATCACGACTCCATGGTTTAAAACATACACAAAAATTAAATATTGTACAACCAGCCCCGATCTCCCCTATATATCCAACTTACGGCTCAATCAAGGCTCAGAAAGAGATGAATGCACCAATACACATTCAACATTCAGTAGCAAACTAGACTGCGATTTGTAAAGCACCCTATAGCTGTCATCGTCACGATTATCAAGAGACTTGTCCCGTTAGTTCAATGAAAACCAGTTAACTAGAGCTGCAAGTTAGCCTTTAAAAAGGAAAAAAGCGAACAGAAACGGCCATTAAAGTTACTTGTTCCCGTGATCTAGCCGCAACTTTGGATGCTGACATTCCCGTGTATCCTGTTTACAATAAAACGTACCACCCTGCTTCTTTTTACACATTTGACACAAACCAACATCATCTGCCACCAAGGATTAGGCTGTCGAATGTTCCGGGTTATCAGTCTTTTTCTCGAGCAATTTTAAAAATATACCTGCATGCTCCAGTCGGCTTCATCCTCGAAAAAAAATACCTCCGATGTCTCATTGTTTAGAGGATGGCAAGGCTCCAGTTTCGTTGTGTGTGGTACCGAAAATGTCAATGTGAATGTTCATGAGACCCGGCTACAATATTAAGTATGGCATGTTCTACGTTTTCCTATAAGGGGATTTTTCGTGATTTCTTATTTCGTCAGCACAGCAATTAACCTCTAAAAAATCCACATGACCGGCAGCTGCTTACAGGAAACTATGAACAGGTGTTATTTCATAAAACGGCGTCTAAATTGCTGGAAGTGTACTAAAACCAGCCACTCACTTCTTAATTAGTGTTCCAATTCCATTTTTAAACATTAGTTTCGGTTTGGTGCTCGCAGCGACTCAAGATTTTGCCAGTCGTGGAACAAATTAGGCATATGCAAAATATCTTAAGACTGCCATGCATGGAAATCGTATTATATGCTAGGAGCATGTGCAGAACGATGTTCAATTATTTTCGCACACAACGGTACAAAGACCCCGATGCTGGTCTGTTGGTCTTCTGGCCAACGAAATCATCTTCTACGAAGTATGTCAGAGTTCGAGGCCCAGCCCCCCGTTTATTTCCCATTCATGCAAAATCATCATCACTCGCTCACAAACGAAATCTGTGGCTTTATTACACGGTCCACCAATGGAACCCACTCTGCGCCTGGTCTATCCGCAACCAACACAACATTACGTACGGAGCAGTCATCCGAAATGCACGTCTGTATTATCGCTACTCAAAAGAATCTAACAGCTATTGGATGCTTATTAGGGAAGGTTCATAATGTTTACATCCGCCATCTTTTAAATTCTGTCAACGTTACTTCGGATGATAAATAAAATATAAAATTGCCTTTTCCTTTTTTAACTTTTCCTTAATCAGTTTTGATATTTAAGCGGAAAATTTTACACCAGCCGAAAGCAACAAATAATTCATGCGAATAAAAACTTCATTTCATGCGTTGGTATCGATTAACAGACGTGTCCAGAGACGAAGAAAATACTTATTTCCCTAATTAGGATTCGAGATTATCCAGCGTGTATGTGCCAACAGCACAGAGAGTAAACATATCGAAATTGACAAGTTTATTTTATACTTCTTATAAAAGCTACTTTCAAGCGTCTCCATTTCAGGGTCATTCCTCCTCTCTTAATGAACTGTCAAGGGGTCTACTCATGCGTTTAATATGAATAAAGTGCTTTCGAGAATGCGGCATGAGCCTTGCTAAATGAAGACAGTCTACTATAATGATTCTATTCATTCCAAACTGCTCCCACTTCGTAATCTGACTTCTCATGTCAGTACAAGTGATATGCAGAGTGTTCGCAAACAAATGCCTCTCAACTCCCAACAAATTACCCGTCATTTACAAGAGTCGACTTAACTACAACCACGCACTGTCTTATCAAACACCGCCCATTATCTATTCGGCGTGGATTCTTGTCCGTCACAACCTCAGATTTCACCAGTCGCCTGGTTCTCCCAACTCAGACGCCATCTGGAACCGCATCAAAGTTTCGGAGAAAAGTATCGCTCCGTCTTCTGGGGTGGGCGTGAACATCCTCACCCTGAAGAATACGTAAGACATAGCAGAAATGTGTCGTTCGGTATCTGTGGCCAAAGTACCCTGGTCGTACAACCCGAGGCTTCGCGGCGTGCCACTGGACACAATTCTGCGCAAGTTCTAACCATTTTTCACCTCGTCTATGTCAAACCGAAGAATTCGTCCAATTCGTTACGTTTCGAAATATGGCGTCTTACGGCGAAGGGCTGCGAGTACTGTGCACATCCTCCAAGCTGAAGTGCCGCCCCTTATCGGCTGCTCGTGGTAGGCCTGCTCCGTTAAATACATGTGCAGTCAGAAACTTCCATATCTGAAAGCCGTCTCAACGCGAACAAGCGCCATTTTGTAGTGACAAAGAACCCTCTTAAGTGAAATGTGAATCGATCTGACAGGGTGCCAAGTCAATTTCTTCACTGCTGACAGAAGACTTCTCTGACTTTATTTTTCCTAAATCCAAGGGCATTGTTCGTATCCGAAATTGTTACGCTGTCAAACAATTTTAGACAGCAATAACATAACGCAATCCTCCACGGAAAGCGACTACTTCTTTGCCACAGATGAGCAGGTAGGTAAACAATTACCTGTAGGGGTACTTCTTTATCTCTGGCCTTAACGGTACACACTATCTTTTCTGGCGTGTCGAAATCTTGCAAATGGTGACCATGGTTCATATTCCGTAATCAACTGAAAAGCACATCTACACATTTCGTTCTGCTGTACTTGACCTTCGAAGATGTGCAGAACGAAATTTTGTATCCTCGGATGTTGGACATAATGGCGAGTTGAGTAGTTTCTGCCCTTTTATTTTCCTAAATTTGCATTTCTGCATGTTTTAATCTGTTTGATCACATGATTTGCCTCCATGTTGGAATAAAAACATGAAAAACGAAACTTTCTATTACGAATGACAATTTTGGGTACCAGAAAGTCTGTGGATCTACACAGAGCCCTGTACTTGGCCGGGCACTGCTCGTCTAATTTGCCAACCACCATGAATGAGGGGGTCAACGGCCGTAACAAGCCTGCCATCATCTCACTTCAAGACATCCAAATTATTTGACTGCAGTGGGAGGAGACGTTGTTAAGAAGAAAGACTGTGACCTTCACAGGAGTTCATTGTTTTCGACAAAGACATCTTTTTCAGAGGTACGCAAAGACTCTCTCGGCTTCCAGTCGGAATAACAGACGGCCTCGTACTGTACAAAACTGTGTTCACGATATGGAACGAGCTTCACTGATGAGCAAAACAACAAGCAAACTTTTTAACCTTTTGGTTTTTAGCGAGGAGGCAAAAGAATATACAAAAAATAAGAAGTGAATTTAAATTTCTCATAATTTAAACATGAATACCACTTTTGTTCTTCTTCTTCCTTGCCACATACATTGCGTCCCAGAAGAAATTAACATTAAATTATCTTGGTGTTTCAGCCGCGGCTCATTTTCTGTAGTACAAATGCGGCCTTAATGCCATATTAGGGCAACTTAAGTTGATAATTAAACAATTTCATGCAATTTAGTTGATGTTTTATATATGTATATTCATACTACTGTGAAAACTTCAAATCTCATACAGTGATGGCTTACGCTTCATCACAAAATTCTGTTTCTGACATTGCGCATGTTTCCGAAGCCATCTTCCTGAGTTTAATACAAGACTTCAAAGATTTCAAGCTCAGCTTCAATTCACCCTTGCACTGACATGTGTACTGTGACGGGCCTGTACATGCATGACTGCGGTCTGTTTGCAACTCTACGCCCATAAAACAATTCAAACTTACAGAGCTGCAGAAATTACTGGATGTGGTGGAAGTGATAAAGACACTAAACTAAAGTAAAGCCGTCCCACTGCGCGCAATTGATGGGAAACGGTGTAGCTCCTGTTCATCCTTGACCTGAGCATTGGATGGCAAGACCCAGCGACATGCCCCAGTTGCGCTTTGCCTTGGAGAGTGGATCGTCATTACCCGCTGGCCGGCCCCGGAGCAAGTCTCGACGCAGAGGCTGGAAGAAAAGCCCTTTGTCCTTCCCAGGACTAAACACCCCGTGACTTCAATCACGAGGTCCCACCTCTTTTCCCCTCAAGACTGCCGTGCAACCACTTCTCTTATCAAACACTCGCTGCCGAACCTCCTTTTCGAATCTTTCGACACCTAAAATCCTGTTTCATCACCCCTTATGCTAATTATGTGGTGGCTAAAAAACTTTCTTCCTTCACCTCTCAACCTCAACAGCCGCTCTTCTTCGCTTTCCATAGACTCCTCAACGTCTCCTTCCCTTCCAAAGTTTCAAGGTCAACATTACAGATGTAATTTTCTTACATAGAAAAAACACATTAGTTCTTTTCTGCCTACTTTTCTGCCATACTAAGAAATTCTTACCATTCGCGACGGACACATTACCACACAAATACAGTTTACTCGCAAACCACAACAAAACCTTTGCAGTCCAGTGGCATCACATCAGATCGTGATGGCATCTGAAGATGACAGCGGACCTACCGACCTTTTACTTTACTTACCGATGCTTTATAAGGTACACACTGTCAAATTACAGGATTATTAACAACAGAGAATTGTACAGGATGGGACATAGTGGGGTATTACCCCAGTAAAAGGATGGAAAACTTGTGGAAAACACAAAATACCCCACTGACGACAGCCGATCTCCCGGCCAGAATTCAAACCTGACGACTCGTGAACATAAAGCAAGAGTGCTAACGACACGCCAGCAGTTTTAGTGAAACCGAACTGCAAAGGTTTGAAGAATATTCGTCGAAAGGCACGGTGCACTCACCATGTGTTCCCAAGCTTTCTCTTCCAGTTCCTGAAGGCTCCAACCGTCCCCGACGCGGAAGTCCAGCGGCTGCAGGCGCGACTCCATATCCCGGATCCACTTTCTCAGACACTTCACTTCATGTTCCACATCTGCACAGAAAAATCCACTGTTCAAAACAAAATATTAAATGTCACACAAAAAGGCTTTTAAATAAAGATTTGCGAAACTGCGATTCAAATCTCAAAACAGTTCCAGTGTCAAATTACATCACACTTGTTTCTTTCCTGCTTCTGCCTCTTTCAAATCCCTTGAAGGAGCATATAAATAGTAGACTTTCCATTTAAAACGTACAATGGAATGTACATATATGTACAATCCTTTACTACGAAAAGCTGAACATTTTTAACAATTATTAGTCTTACATAAAAGAACTATTTCATCTGTGTTTTCAACTGCTTTCTATGTGACCAGAGCCCCTTTTATAATGAGGTGCAGGTGGATAAAAGGCAACGCCTGCATTTTCATAAAAATTCCAGGGCCGGTCACATTAATAAACAGCCTATAACCAGATCGAAAATGCATCTATTCTTCTCTTCATACATCCTACTTACAATTTCTCAAAGCACTTCATCACAACGGTACAATGCATGAAGTGTGCTACATCGACCATGTCACTAGACGATTGTAGCGTATGTATCCTACCCTCTCATATTTAAAGACAAACATGGGACGTTTTGAACACTGGGCTATTATGCTATCCACTAATTGCAGTCCCAACTTTGACCCCAGTCTTTGCTACTAATCTTAAAACGTCCCTCGTTACCTGTACACACGTCCAGCTGGCCCGGGTTGCTCTTGCACGGGGTAATGGCTTGCTCCAGCATCTCCCATTTGGAGTTGAGGCGAGCCATCCTCCACATAACTTCATCACGCATGTCTGGACATCGACGTAAGAGTCTGTTTGCCTGGTCATTGAACAATTTGCGTCGATATACCTTGTGCTGCATATCCTCCACGTGACTCTAGAGCGTACAAACACGAAATTCAACGGTCAGTCTCTCGATGTTACATTTAAGTGGTCAGAACTACGGCTTTATCAGAGGACTCTGAGGTACCAGTCTCAAATCTAAGCCCAGAGACTAGACAAAGAGGTTTCTTGTTGTTTTCCTCAGTCCCTGAAGGCAAATACTGGAAAAGAATTTTAAATTAAGCCAAAGACCACTTCCTTGTAAACGCTTTCCAATTATTGAATTACTGATCACCTTATACATTTAGCCCCACATGATTTTAAACACTGACAGCATGGTTAGTAATTAATTAATTATAATTTTTAAACACATCAGATTCTAAATTCAATGGGCTTAAGTCCCTTTCAAATTTATTTACAGATAAAACCAAAAATTATTTACCTATCAAATTCTTAGCAACTTTTATAACACCAGACAAGTCAAGAGAATGAGCCAACACAGGAGGGTTCAAAACAAACTTGCCCCTGGTGCTGAATTAAGACCACACCATGACGACGTACTGCTGAGCGGTGATATGGCTTCACACATTCTTAGTCTCAACATTAGATGGAAGACAGTGCTTGGCTTCATGCCCCAGCTGCTTTACACGTGATAAATCACCGGTACCTGCCGTAAAGGATGCTGGGTGGGGCCCGGAGCCAGTCCGAACATTGTGGCAAAGATACGAGTCTTGCCACGTTGGGAAATAAACCCAGGTACTCCAGCCTGTAGCATAGTCATTATACTATGCTAAAAGAATTCTGTGTTTGTATGATGAATTCTCAGATACAACCCACAAAGAGAGCGTACATCTCTTCTTTCTTTTAGTTATAATTTTGAGAGAGTAGACAGTTTTAAATATGTTGGATCTACAGTAACGCATGATAACAATTGTTCCGAAGAGATCAGAATGCGGCTTATGATGGCAAACAGGGCATATTTTGGGCCGTCGACACTTTTGCGTTCACGGTTACTATCTCGGCCAACAAAATTGCAGATCTACAAAACACTGATAAGGCCCCTCTTAATGTATGCATCTGAGACATGGACCTTAACAAAATATGATAACCGTTATCACTGATGGGTTTGAAAGAAAGGTCGTGCGAAGACCAATTTGGGCCAGTGGGTGAAAACGGTCAATGGCGAAGGAGATACAATACAGAATTGTATTTAATCTACAAAGAACCTATCGTCACGAGTATTATTAGATCCGCTAGACTAAGGTGGGCAGGTCATGTTGCTAGGATGGACGACAGTGACCCAGCGAAGAAAATCATTGACAGCAATCCTGGAGGACAAAGAGAGAGGGACCGACTGTGGCTCAGATGGTAGATGGAGTCGAGGAGGACGCAAGAGTGTTGGGACGCAGACACTGGAGGATGGTGGCGCGAGACAGAAACAGATGGTGGAGGGTCGTTGAGGTGGCCGAGGCTCACATCGGGCTGTAGCGCCAAAGAAGAACAAGTGGTTTAATGTAGAATGTAGTTTTGAACTAAAACTACAATTACATAACACTTACAACCCTGAGACTCCTGTCAATGACATTCTCTTCCTTTCCATACACAGCCTCTTGAATGCTATTGAGCCAAGAATAGAGTTCAGAGAACTGTTTGAGGAATTCACTGAAGCTCCAGGTGTAGGAAGCTGCTGTTACATCCTTCTCATCCCAAGAAAGTTCACCACTTGCCTCCTGAAACATTAGCATATCATAAAGGCGTGCTTTCCGGAATGCTATCACTCTGTCAAATTTATACTTAAACACTCTATTATATTTAAGAAGGTAAGGGTAAAACCGTGCATGTGCTTAGATGGTCAGATGCACGCTCGATAAAATCAAAGAATTTTCTTAAAGCACAAATTTAACAAACATCAAATGATTGAGACCTAAAGATGGCTAAAACAATAACGTCATTTCTAGCGCTTGCTGTAAAAAAATCTGTACATAAAAACATGAAGTGAAGAAGCAAAACATGTGAAACTAAAGATTAAAAATGTCACTGATAAAACAAGATGAATTTTCTCATTAAAGGAGACATTTTTCTTAACCATTAACTATAATTTGTGCCCGCATGCACAAAGAAAAAGTGGGCTATTCTTTGAAGAGTCAAGTAAACAACTGACTTTTCAAAGAAAATCACACCGCACAGAGCGATGTACATACAAACAGAATGACATCTTGCAGCAAGTTTGTTATATATGATGTGAAGCTTTCACGGCAGCTTTCATTAATAAAGTCTACTCGGGCCGTGTCAGTAGGTGATCAACCGCCGACGTTTCGAGGACCATCTCTGTCCTCATTCTCAACGCTGTCGACTGTGTGGCTCGTAGCGTGAACTACACAGTCAACAGCCTTGAAAATAAGGACAGAGACGGTCCTCAAAACGTTAGCAGTTGATCGCCAGCTGACACGGCTGATAGCCCGAGAAGACTTTATTAATAAGTTTGTTATAAATTAAAGTAAATGCTCGGGAACATACAGCAGCTGTAGTAAATTCATTCATTTACAGCCTACTATCACACCTTTCGACTGGTTTTACTGTTTCTTGTACAATTATATCGCACAAAACTTGTACATTTCCCTTCTGATACAATGAAGTACTTACGATTCTTGTGCAGTTCAAACAAATATATAACATTATTGTTTCTTATAACTCACCTTGCAGCTCTCAATGAGGTTATTGTCCATAAGATAGTAGTAGTCTGGCTTTAGCGCCGCCCAGAACTCATCCTTGTTCTCAACGCTGTAACCCCACGACCGACGCCAGGCATCCAGCTCAGGATCTTTCCTGTGAGATATTAAAAAGGAAACATTTTATTCGTGCCAATACTGATCCTGTGTAGACTTGGTAAGTACATTCAATAAACCGTCTCCATCTTCGGTGCTAAAGGATACGGCACGTTTCTCTGAAATGTTCGTATTTACCTACGAGTCCACGCGGTGAGTACCAACCCTGATATCCTTACCACTGCGAGAACCTCAAAACCACATTTAATTCATATTCCAGCTGTACGTTGCAGGATAATTGAAACGCAGCAATTTTTTGACAGACATTAACATAAAAATCAACGACTTTGTACAACAGAGACGCGTAAGTCGTTGCGCGTGTCGGGACAGAAGTAAACCCGCAGCTAAGAATGAAATTGAGATATTGCGCTGGCAAATCTAGTTTATGGCAGTGATAGATATGGATGGTGGGGAGATACGTGATGAAAAGAAATTAAGTTTCTGATGGCATCAAACTTTGTAATTACTATTACTCTGAAACAAAAAATCTGTGCAAAATATGTCAAAAAATGATGGTTCCGCACCCACGTTCTAAGTTACTGATGCAAACAGAAGGGATTTTTTTGTCTTGGCCAACAAATATTTATGTACTGACATTGGCCAGTTTAAACAAAATAATTAGCACTTCAGGACCGCGAGACACTTTGACTGGTCTCATACCGTGGTTTCTTCGTGAGACTGTTGTATGGCCTCTCTGCCCGTAGTCTCGCGTGCTCAGGACTCTCTAGACTGCCACTAGAGCGCTGCAGCGAGGACAGGGAGAAGCTCATCTTCAGAGCCGAGTTTTCAAATCCTGAAACAATTAACAATACGTACGTTGACACATTTTCAGTCGTCCATTAATCAAAGCTTCCAAAGTGGCTACATAAAGTCTTCATTACAATTAAAAGTTTTATTTAAAATGTATCATACAGTAACTGTGGATTTAAATAAGTCCCCATACTACAGGGATGTCCAAGCCAAACTGCAGCTACACTTGCATTGTCTTCAGTTATTTAGACAAGCAATTTCAAAGCACCTTTTCACTCATTTATAAACCTCTTACGAGTGTATTTATTATATTACTTGTCAAATATTATCAGGATGAAGAAATCACAGAAAATAAGATGAGAAGCGCACGTAGCATGCATGTTAAGAATGAGAAATCCATACAAAACTCCGGTTGAAAAGCCTGAAGGGATGACACTTGGAATATCTCGGCATATATGAAGATATCGTAAACTAGATCTGAGAAAAAGGCTGGATTAGATTCAACTGGCTTACAGTATGGACTAACAGTGAGTTCTTGTGAACATGGTAAGGAACCTGAGAGTTCCATAAAAAGTAGGGAATTTCTTTATTAGCTGAACAACTATCGGCTTCTCAACAAGGACCCTGCACCGTGGAGTTAGTTAGTTAGCAGATAATACATAACAGACCAATTAACACAATTACCACCATTAAAAAACCTTTAAAGTTATAAGACTTGTAGACTAGTAGTAGTAACTGTTTCTGCCATAAGCACGGCAAACAGAACATAATATGCTTTATTTTTGAGGTTAAGATATAACAACTTCAGGTATAGTCCGCGACTGTAATCTTGAGACTTGCGGAAAGATAGCGTCTGCCTTGTAATGCATCTTAACCACAAAAGCGATCACTTAAAATAACATGCAATTAAAGACTAAACTGATTAATAATGCCAATAAACGTATTTGCCATTACATCCCTATTTAAAGGTTATTTTACTATCAGAGATTACACATTTGGGAGCGGATGCTTAGCAAACACACGGTGATCGATTTAATTTACATACCGACAGGCATTTTGCTGTAGAGTGAGGAATCAGAATTGTAACAGAGTTGGTCAGTTCCTACAATACGAGCACGCCGCGTCACATGGCACGGTGTTGTATCACTCCGCTGAGCGTCATCCTTATCTACACTGACCCAATCATGGACCTCGGAATAAGTAACGAAGATGCTCACTGCAGGCCAACGCCACCACGGACCTCTGTACTTGGTTCTGCTCTTTCTGCGCCACCAGAGTCTCCCGCACCTGCAACTAGAGGCAGCCATGACAGAAACAGCTGTTGATGTGTACCATATACAGAGTGTCCCGAGAGTTCCAAGTCGTACGAGAACGCTATTATTTGGCAAAATATGAGGGAAACGTTGTTGGAAATGGAGCGTTTCCAATCTAAAGAGCTGGAACATTTTATCTTCAACAAGTAGTTACAGCGCTACACTCTAAATATCAGCACTTCAAAGTTAAGGAGATTTTGCCAGGTTAACATGACAGCGAAAGGCGGATGTTTCCAAACTAGGAGGAAGTGAGGGAGATACAGATACTGCATGACACTCTGGAAATACATCACTCTTTCGCTGTCATTTTGATGTACGTACAACATCGCCGTAATATTTATTACAAATAATGTAAAAAAAATGTAGCGCAGTAGTTAACTCGTCCCAGGTAAAAAGAATCCAGCACTCGAGATTGGAAACACGCTATTTTCAACTTTTCCCCTCACTTTCTTCTCATTTAAGCTCTGTGAATATACTTTTGATCTGTTGCCATTCCCACTGCATTTTCCAAAAAATTGCACCAATGAAAGTCATACAGTCGTAAATATTTTCATGCCATACTGACGTATAGAAAAAGGGCTTTTCTTTACCAAACTCATCATTTAATGCACGGCACATTAATAAGACATAACTAAAGAACGATTCCCATATGGAAGTTAAGAGTAAAAATGAAATACTTCTTAAATGTGTAGCTGCAAAATACCGATTGTTTCTGAGACTCTCGGTAGTGAAAAGACGCGCCTGCAGAGTAGGAAGCACAATAGTCGTCACATCCTAGTGATTTCATTATTGTTCTTTCCGGTCTGAAAGACAACACCAAAGTGTTTCCAAAGCTCTGGTCAAGTAAGATTCACGTACCTGTGCTGCTCATTTTGTTTGGCCGTTCTGTTGCAACTTCATACCGAAAATACTTTGTCTAAGCAGTGGAACATAGGACGGAGAAAATATTACTTACGCTAACCAACCAATGGATAAATACCGCGATCCTCCTGAGAGGGGATAATTGTAGGTAGGCGACCTTCCAGCTTTCTGCAGGGTTTTATACTGCAGCTGATCCTACCCCCCCCAACCCAAGGGTTAAACATAAACCAAAAGACACTGCTGGCAAAATATGGGCAATTTTTATGACGCATATTTTCGAAACGACCAACTGGTTTGGCATGAGCCGGGATAGCTCAGTCAGTATAGTGACTAGCTACGGGCTGGGCGACCGGGGTTCGATCCCCGACGGGGGCAGAGGATTTTTCCTCTAGCCTCTGGGTCCAGACCGGCTCTGGGGCCCACCCAGCCTCCTCTACAATGGGTACCGGGGTCCTTTCCCGGGGGTAAAGCCGGCCGGGGCGTGGTGCTGACCATTCACCCCCATCTAGTGCCGAGGTCAAGGAAGAGAGGAGCTATACCTCCTCTCACTCCAAACTCCTACATTTCGTATAGTGGGACAAACTTTACTTTACCAACTGGTTTGGCTATCCTCTGCGAAGTTGTGCGGTTATAAGTTTGAAATTTCCTTTCCCTCAGCCCGTCCGTTCCAATTCGCTTTCAATCTCACATTTCAATGACGCCAAGTTTCATACCTGTAACGATAGTAGGTGGATGCTTGGAGCTGGCGTCGTGGCGGAAGCGAGACGCTATGAGGTGTTTTCCTGCACCGGGCGCGCTGAGGCTGCCCTGCACCTCCACATGGTAACTGGTGTGCCTGGAACAATACGCCGGGAAGTCAGTCTCGGAAACTGAAGGACACAAACGTGATTGATACTGGTGACTTCATAAATTTAGTCACTGGCGTAGTTTGTATTGAAACGACCAACTACTGCAATATATTCCGTCGATAGTTCAGTTCTGGACATTCTTGAAATGGAGTAGCTTTTCTAGTTTTCGTAGTTGTTTATCAGCCTATAATCCCTTCTTGCACTAGGCCTATATGTCGGTGTTGTTTGTCATGGATTAATATTCTCTATTTGATTCACGTATGTTCTTTTCTCTGACAGTTATATACGTTGTGAAGAAGCAATTTATTTTCGGCAAATACGACCTTACTGCATCTTTCAAGACTACATACATCATTCTTATGTCATGATTACATACATCCTGCATTACGGAAAGACACAAATATAACAAAAGCATTCTAAACCAGGTAATGGCATGTTCGAGCCTCTGGAAATTACACTGTATGAAAGTTGATGGAGTAGTTGCTTACAATTTAAATCACGAAGAAGCAGCTCCATGTACAATGAAGTAAAGATATATTTTCACAAAGCATGGTGAAAATAATGAAAGATTTGATTACAGGGTATTACTTGTACAGTAGTAATACCACATCCGTACTAAATAATAAACGTATTCTTGCAGGCATGCGTGTGGGAGACGGCGAACTTATGACCTAGCGTGCAATAACCCAGCACAGCTCTTCAGATAAACAAAATGTAGGAGTGGAATATACGAAAACTGTAGGCGCTGAATTATGTCATATGGTGGGAGTTACAGCAGTGACAGGGAGCCAAGAGGCGGGCGTGTTCTTACACCTGTTCGAACGTCTTCCCGCTCCCACTGTTTCATAACTACGATCCTATCCAGCTAAGATCACTGACCTGGCAGTTGCTACGTAATGACAATCACTGCAAGCAGAAATCTCTGACAAAGAATTACAGTATGCTTCCTCTTATTTATATACCCACTTATTTTACGGAAGACGATAAAACACTGTTCTCCAGTGTGTCCGATAAGTCACTATGCAATTGAGATTATGTAGCAACATATACTTGGCAATGCTCGAAGACTGTGATTTTTTGAACACCCAGTATTATAATTTTCTCTCAAAGACTTCTCTACTATGCCCTGCATATTAAGCCTTTTCTTGACGCATCAATTACTCCACCTTAATTACTCTCCACTTCTGGGTTTCAGTACAAAAGACACGTCCAATTAACTTTAAATCATAAAATGTCGTTAGACAAATGTACATGTCACAGCGCTGACAGATTTACTGATAACGCATATAACAGGAAGTTCTTGCTGGAAGAACAAGTAGTCCTACTCGCGATGGGGTAAACAAATTGATGCAGAGGATAACGTTTTGAAGTGGATCAAGTTCTACAGGCAGAAGCGTTGGGTTCGGTTACCAGATAACCACTTAACTGGTTATGAATAACTAAACAAAAAAATCGAAATACATTTACAGAGAATAAATGAATGGGTATTTAATAATTTAAGAAACTAGATAAGTCATCATATGCACTGCTCCTTCGTGCTAGTAACGCAGACACAAATACTGAGCTGAGTAAACACATGAAGTATTTATTGCAACTCCCATTGAATTCAACGTGCAGCGCCCAACTGCTTCATTGAGGCACTTCACTGCGTTTCGGGACTTGACCGCTTCCTTCCACATCCCTTCAAATTTATTATTCACCACCATCCTGTAATTCGACACTATATAGCTGAGCTACCAAATAATCTCCGTTAAATATACAAAAATTAAATAAATAAATAATTTCCAGCTTCAACCTTCGTTTAAAGTCTTATGTCTAAAGTTACCTCTTTTAAGACCAATGAAGGGTGTACAGAGAAAGGGTGAAGAAAAGAAGAAATTAGTCTCTAATGGCAAATAAAACCTCGGCTAAAACTGCAGCCTCAGCGTATTCTCGGTAGCGGAATCAACAAAGTACACGCTGCACTGCCATCTTGTAAGCGGTTCATTTGCATAGGCGGGGCAGAACCCACCTCAGCAGAAACTGCGTCAATATCTTCAACGATAAAAACATAATTCGACCCTGAAGATGGCAGTTATAAGCCGGTGTTCCTAAGAAACGTTGGTAAATATCTACAAGGATGCTTGACATCACAACCCTGACGACAACAACAGACGTCTCCGCCGCATTGAGAACCTCAAACCTCGCATTCGATTTGGGATTTCGAGAAAGGAACGTCCACGAACAGTTTCGTTTTCCGTCAGCTGTTGTATTCGAAGGCAGCATGCGGTCCGCGGATTGTCTATCACTATCTTGTTTGTTGTAAACACGGCAAACCATGCGCATTGTAATATCTTCCGCATATGTGGACTGCCAAACGACAAGAGCCCGTCGTCTCTTCTGAAGCCATCAACCGCATATCACAATTCAGAGAAACCGGTGTGGAAGTGTAAATACATACGAATCAACACATCGTCTGCCCGCCGGAAACAAACAATTACGTATTCTTCTCACACGTTTGCTGTAACACTTCTCGTCTCGTTACAGCTGTATACATCCAACACCTTGAGTTCTTTCCACACGAAAGTATCGACCCTATTACATATTCATTGTGCAATGTAAAAAAAGGTCATGAAAAAAAAGGTTGGCTTAAATAATACGTACTGAAGCTTTCCAGAATACATGGCGCTATAACCCAGAAGACAGCCATCTTCGTACTTAATCGCCGTGAAAACCTCAAATCCTACTTACGATGTGTATTGTTCCCGTCAAAGACTCAGCGTCGGCTTTCCAACATCGTATCCAATGGCACTCTGACGTTAATTTTTGCTGAACCTTGCTTATTCTGGGGGCGTCGACAAGAATGGTGTCGAGACGCTCTGCGCCGATTTTCGAATTCCGCGTTAGAAGAAATCCTGACGCCGTATTAAAATGGCGTCTTCTACCGATGTCGCGACGCTCGACGTCGCATTCATTTCAAAATGCACTTGGAAGTTTTACAGCGAAAAATGCTACGCCTTTTTGTGGCGGCGCTGTCAGATGTCGCGACGCTCGGCGTCGCTTTTCCAAGGCCGTTTCCAATGCAATCAGGGACCTAACCTGCTTTAAATGTGGTGGTGATGTTAAATTGTCCAAAATATGGCTTTTGCTGCTTCTTTTCGATTGTCGCGACACTCGGCGTCGGTTTTCCATTGTTTAGGATGCAACCCGTTAGCTCAAGTACGGTGACTGTGATGTCCCTTGAAGGCATCGCAACTCGTGGCGTCATTTTCCAAAGTCATGTCAAATGACATGCGGAAGTTCATCTTGTTGCGACGTGGCGATGATTGGAGTAGCGAAGGTCGGCGTCGGTTATCTACGGAAAACGCCCTCAGCTGGATTCGGCATTGTTTTGGGGGAGGGGGGAAGTTTTGATCCTCATATGACCTCTTCCTTGTCTCATGTACCCGTTTCACACAGCGCATGCGTCATTGTTACTGCAACACCTGTGACGCCAGATCTGGAAGGATGTTTAATCTGTTGAACATCCTTACTAATGTGGAAATAATTCCAACACGCACGGAGGTTGGGATTCTGGTTGTGATCTTCATGGTTTGAAATCACTTATGTATGTCGTAAAGTTCACGGCGGTTAACGTTAAGATGGCTATAAATTGTCCTGGGCTAGAAGGAAGTGTAATAAACTGCTCATCTTTACAGATTAGGGCAGTTAAACACTTCCGGTTCTGAATGTAATAGGCTGCAAAAAAAGATTTCCGGAGCGATCAGCAGTGTTCGTATGGAGTTACAATCGAATCGGAGACGGTCTCTGCCTCTATCATCATTATTCCCGATCTTAGAGCCTACCCGAAAATACTTCACTGCATTCAGTCGCTGTGAAAGCATCAAATCTTATTTACAATTACATGCTTAACCAACTCCATGACGCAAAGTCCATGTTGAGAAGTTAATATCCAGTCACGAAATTCGCTATCTTTCACGGAAAACAAAATTCAATTACTATCATCACCATTATTATTATTATTATGGGTTACCTGTTCGGTATGGACTGAATTATTAAACAACAGAAGGGTATCCGCAGTGCTACTGCGGCGACATGAACGACGTGGTGACCTAGGCGACAGTGCAGACTTGAAGACTACTGTGCCTTTGACGACCACGGCGACCGCGGTGTTACAGCGGCCTTAGTGACTTGAACAATCGCTGGCTTCCAACGTCATGTCCGATGGCGTCCCGAGGCGCACCTGAGGTAAATATGAGACTTTGGGCGTTGGTTTTCCAACTTCTTACTCAGATAAATCTTGAGATTCTCTTGTCACGACCATTTTACCAAGTTATTCCGGTTCCTCATGACGATAATAACATGCCTGTGCATAAGTATCACGCCATAAACTGATACAGGGCGTGGAGGTACAGCACATATTGTCTGCCAAAAAGAAAATCCCAACTAAGTAGTAGGAGGATAGAACTTGTCAGCGCAGTTCTAAAACAACGACAGAAACAAAACTCAATTACAACAGTAATAATAATAAATAATAATTACAGCAACAGTAGTAGTAATAACACAGAAGAATTCACTAAAGCTGTTGATACGAACACGGAGTAGAAGTTCTACACAAATTTATGGAAGTCGCCTCTCCCTCTTGGGAAAGACACATTACCACCCAGCTCATGTGCAGACAGGCTCGTACATCCTGAATGCCAAGAGATGCTGACCTGCCCAGTCTGTGCACAGGTTTCCCCTCACTGGCATATCTTCCTACTGACAGACCACTGCAAACAGCAACGAGGATGCAGTTATGAAACAATTATACCAAACACAAATGACACTATTTTATAGCGTTAATTACAGTTCAACTTTTCCGACATCTAACTGGAGCATCTGATGAACTCCATTTGACTCGTGAGAAGGTGTTAAAATAAAAAGAACCACCCTTTACAGATGCATAAGTTTTATTACTATTCTCGTGGTTTTCCCAAGTTCTTCCGGGCAAATTCTGGGTTTGTAG